GACCCACGTCACTCACTTCTACCCCGTCCTCAGCCGAGCATCTGTCAGCACCCATGAGTTCCTCTGGGCTGGCATCAGATGTAACAGCCTCTGGAAACTCAGTGCTGTCAGCCACAGCTACTGCAGGGGTAGAGTCAGAATGAATCAGACTTAAACCCTCATCCTGTGGTCCCTCCTCTGTGCTCCACAGTCGAGGATCCAAAATGGGCATTACTGGTATCTGTGGTGTCAGGGGAGCAGACAACAGAGAACTTCATCCCACAAGGGGCGAGGGGCACACAACACTGGTCTACTGAAACCCAATGTCCCTTTTTCCCCGGGGACTTCAGAAGAACATCCTGTTTTGCTTTACATAGGGGTAAAACAATCAAAAAATCCTTTTGCCCATGCACCCCCCATCCTGCTAACCACCGCTGGCGGTCCTTCAGCCAGACCCCTGAGATCCTCTGGGCTGCCATCAATTCTCACAGCTCCAGGGGACTCAGAGCCATCTGCCACAGGTGCCAGGTGGACAACAATCTGAGGAGACCTTAGGCCCTCTGGGCCAGGTTTCACAAGGGTCCAACCCAGCTAGATTGGGCCCTTCCACAGACAGTTCCTCTGTAGCAGTGGGCAATGACTGGTCCGGGGCCACCTGGCGGGCACCCCGAGTCACTACTGCAGCAGAGGGAAGGTCTGCCTTACACATGTCATTACACTTATCATCACATAAAACATTATCAGTTGCAGAGTCCTCTGCGATTTTAAACTCTTCACCAGGCCTTGACTCCAGACATCCACTAGAGCCAGGCCCTGGTACACAGTCCCTTCACCCCCTGACCCTCCCCAGAATTCCCAGTGTGCATTGAGTCACTCAACAGTACATTACGTGAATCCAAGGCCTTAGGTGTAAATGTAGACTTCAGGGGTGTTGACTTAGACTTATTCTGGGTTACCAACCGCCCCAGGTCAGTACCCGACAGTATGTTCGTGGTAGCTGCTACGCCCACTTCTCTCACTTTGCTTCTGGATCCTTGGGGCAAAGCAACACAAGCTGCAGGTAGTACCAAGGGGTGACTCCTCCAACCCCTATGATAACTGTAGCTTTCTTTGGGACCACATCCTCACGACTCTTCCATCCGAAAGGGCTAGGATATCCTTGGGTCCCTTATCTCGGAGTCCAGCTGAAACATTGTTTGCCTGCAGTGACTGGCTGCAGGCTCTCCACATGGCCTCCTTCATTATTGGGATCTGCTCTGCCCACTTCTTCCACTTGACTTCCAGATTCCTGGCTCAAAGAAACACAAGCCATAGGCACAGCAGGGATGGCTCCTCCAACCCCTGTGCCAGCCATGGCTTCCACTGGGATCACATCCTCACAGCTCCTCAATTTCTGGATGAGCTAGGACATTCTCTGATCCCGTACCTTGTAGTCCAACTGTAACGCTGTTACTTGTAGTAAATTGGTGGCCGGATATCCGCTCGGCCTCCTCCATTTTCTCCAACAAGAAACACAGTAGGGGTACATTTTCCACTTTTTGCTGGTGGGCTAGATATCCTCACATTTGGACAGGGCCGTGCGTAATGTCCCACTTGGTTACAGGTAACACACTTCCAGGTCTCCTTAACTGTAGGTCTGGGCCTTGTAGTTCTTGATGCAGATGGAGGTAACAATGCAGTCCCCTGCTGGATTTGGGCCCTCTCGGCTTTTGTGCCTTCTCTCAGTTTGCTCCCTCTGCTGCTGGTACATTTCTCCCAATTCGTAGTAACTCGGAAATGAGCTGAAACTGCAACTCGAGGTTATCACTTGCCAAAAGCTGTAGATTTATTCCCAGAGAAAGATCCTCTGATTTCTTGAACCAAGAGGGTTTGAGAACAGAGTCACACTGATTCTCACAGTCATCTGGAGTGGCACAGTTGCAGTGTTCCACCGACATGGTGCGCTGTTCTAAACTCCATCTCTATCAGAGCACCTAGGAGCTGGCATCTCGTTTTGCCAACTGTATTGATGTCCTTTAGATCACAAAGGTCAATCAAAGTCTCATTGGATTGTCTCAGGTGCCAGCGTATTAACTCATCTTCCTGTGTTACCATCTTCACGTTTTGCCAAAATAAAAGATAGAAAAGAAAAAAGAAGGGGGGTGGGGGCGCACAAATAGCCAAGTATGTCTTCTACAAAACAATTATTATGCACTGAGTGAGCTTCTGTAAGGTCAGTCACTTCTACCGAGCTTCCAACCTTTAGTACACGGGTTAAATGAATAAACCATGCACTAATGTACTAAGCAGATCCCGCACGCTGCCGCCAACAGTCAAGATTCGCTTAAAACGATCACCCTGTCACGTGTCCACCACACGCCACGCCCACAAGCGACTAGCTAACCGTGACGCACACGTGCTGCGGCCGCGACAGGGTGGTATTAAGAGGGGATAATAAAGGGAATTTACACTTAAATATCTCAAACCGTATATAAGATCAGCCCGTGATACCTTTTCACAGCCCGCACTATCTCTGGCCACCACCAGATGGAGACTCCACTCCAATCCAGCTGGTCGACCACACACTGGCAGATACGATCTTACATACAAACCTGGTGCCCTGATTAGAGTTGAGGACCAGCTTAGTAATCACACACCCTTCTAAAGGTCCCTTCAGCTATCCTAGCTTGAACCCCGGTGTTGATAACCCCTTCCACTGTCCACACACCCCCCACACCAGAACGCACCACAAAGGTAGCCTGGCCACCACCCAACAGTTTATCCGCAGAATGGTCTGTTGAGACACCCACACACAACAGATCTCCGTCTGGCAGATCTGTTACCTTTGCAATCTGTGTGCAATCTGCCCACTCACAGTGCAGTTGCATACAGATTGGCAATGAGCTTAACCGAGCGTTTTAAAGGCACTAAAATACAATACAATATAAACCCAATCTAATCTCTCCAATCTAGTCTCACATCGCACGATCTAGTCTCTCCGAAGATATGAGCACGTGCTTAAATACACAGAAGTTCACTAATTAATTTTAAGATTTAATTTCCCAAAGTGGGCAGTGCATAAAATACGTACAAAATATAACAAGTTACATAAAATACAAAAGATATAAGAAGACACACAAATGACTAATTACTTTAAAATAAAAGGGAATAAAAGACAGAATAACACTTTACCCTGCGGCTGGAGCAAGCCAGAAACTTGGCAAAAATCCGCTTAGTCAATCGAACCAGCTCCGTACGAATCACACTGTCCAAATGTCCATGCGTTCAATTTATTGCGATTTGGACATGGGCGGCACATTAGTCTTCGGCCAATTGACTCTGGGGGAGGGGTCCTGACCTGCCCACAAGAGGTACTGTGTATGGACCTGCCCAAGTTCAATTGGGCCGAGACTGGCCTGAACACCAAGTCGGGGATTGGATTTCTGACACCAGGCGCATCAGCCCGATCGCAACAGTACCAAACACCATCCGACTGTCGCACCCCCGCGTCATCTAACCCTTCCATGCATTTCCCTGGCTTTCCTCCCCAAGCCACAAATATGATTCTTATATGTAAATGTAGCGCACAGATTGGTCTGCACAAAGGAAGCTTGTTCATATCTCTCCAACTAATATTTTGGCTTTTATAAGAGATTAAACATACTTCTTTGATGTGAATAATTACTTATAGAACTTTCTACAAAAGGCAGACAGTCTGTCTGCTGTCACTGACTTTCCCAGAAGGTGATAACCTGATTGACACACAAAAGTTGTCACCTCCAGGAACCTGGCTTTAGACTAATTAATGCTAAATGATGATTGGGTCTGTAAGGCCTATTGAGGAATTGTGTATACATACACATCTGACCCCAGACCATTTGTTTGTATCTTCTATTAATTTCCCTACTGCCCAGGGGCTCAATGTACATCCTTAATGACCAGAACTGTTCCTGCACACCCCTTTGTAATGAAAGGGCCTGACATAATCTAATCTACTCAACCTGTCATGGCTATGATTCCATATTTCCACTCAAATCTTACATGTCCGTTTACAATAAATCTTACATGTACATTACAGGGCCCATGGCAGATTTGGGGCCTGGCAGCACCTATGGGAGGCCTGTAATCTGCCAGCAAAACTATGACAAAATGGAACCCAGCAGGAGTGTGAGGAGAGCTGAAAGTGGCACATGGCAGAGTGTGGCGATGGAGACAGCAGCAATGGGAGGCGGTACAGGGAACCCATGACACACTGTGGACCTAGCAGCAGCGTGACGAGGCGGTACGGGGGCCCATGGCAGATTTGGGGCCTGGCAGCACCTATGGGAGGCCTGTAATCTGCCAGCAACCTAATGACAAAATGTAAACCAGCATGGAGTGTGAGGACCCCCCCCACCCCCCCCCCCCCCCCCCCCCCCCCCCACCTTAAAGTGGCACATGGCAGAGTGTGGCGATGGAGACAGCAGCAATGGGAGGCGGTACAGGGACCCATGACACACTGTGGGACCTAGCAGCAGCGTGACGAGGCGGTACGGGGGCCCATGGCAGATTTGGGGCCTGGCAGCACCTATGGGAGGCCTGTAATCTGCCAGCAACCTATGACAAAATGGAACCAGCAGGAGTGTGAGGAGACCTGAAAGTGGCACATGGCAGAGTGTGGCGATGGAGACAGGAACAATGGGAGGCGGTACACAGGGACCCATGACACACTGTGGACCTAGCAGCAGCGTGACGAGGCGGTACGGGGGCCCATGGCAGATTTGGGGCCTGGCAGCACCTATGGGAGGCCTGTAATCTGCCAGCAACCTATGACAAAATGGAACCCAGCAGGAGTGTGAGGAGAGCTGAAAGTGGCACATGGCAGAGTGTGGCGATGGAGACAGCAGCAATGGGAGGCGGTAACAGGGACCCATGACACACTGTGGACCTAGCAGCAGCGTGACGAGGCGGTACGGGGGCCCATGGCAGATTTGGGGCCTGGCAGCACCTATGGGAGGCCTGTAATCTGCCAGCAACCTATGACAAAAATGGAAACCAGCAGGAGTGTGAGGAGAGCTGAAAGTGGCACATGGCAGAGTGTGGCGATGGAGACAGCAGCAATAGGAGGCGGTACAGGGACCCATGACACACTGTGGACCTAGCAGCAGCGTGACAAGGCGGTACGGGGGCCCATGGCAGATTTGGGGCCTGGCAGCACCTATGGGAGGCCTGTAATCTGCCCAGCAACCTATGACAAAATGGAAACCAGCAGGAGTGTGAGGAGAGCTGAAAGTGGCACATGGCAGAGTGTGGCGATGGAGACAGCAGCAATGGAGGCGGTACAGGGACCCATGACACACTGTGGGACCTAGCAGCAGCGTGACGAGGCGGTACGGGGGCCCATGGCAGATTAGGGGCCTGGCCGCAGCAATGTGAGGCCCGTAATCTGCCAGCATCCTATGACAAAATGGAACCCAGCAGCAGTGTGAGGAGACCTGAAAGTGGCACATGGCAATGACACACTGTGGACCTGGCAGCAGCATGAGGAGCGCGGTACGGGGGCCCATGGCAGATTAGGGGCCTGGCAGCAGCAATGGGAGGCCCGTAATCTGCCAGCACCCTATGACAAAATGAAACCCAGCAGCAGTGTGAGGAGACCTGAAAGTGGCACATGGCAGGGGCATGATTCATGGCGGATTTAGTCAGTTGTGTCAGGAACTGGTGGTTTGAAATCCAGACTAATCCACGCCTGATTCATTTTCACAAACGTGAGTCTCTCCACACTTTGGGTGGACAGTCGTGTCCTACCGCGGTAGTTACAATACCTCCTGCCGCACTAAACACGCGCTCCGATGCCACGCTACTGGCCTTGCATGACAGCCTTTCAAGGGCAAATTCAGCTAGTTGGGGCCAAAGGTCAAGTTTCTGTGGCCCTAAGTAACGGTTCTGTGGCCCTCAGTAACAATTCTGTGTCCCTGAGTAAAGTTTCTGTGGCCCTAAGTAACGGTTCTGTGGCCCTCAGTAACAATTCTGTGTCCCTGAGTAACGTTTCTGTGGCCCTAAGTAACGGTTCTGTGGCCCTCAGTAACAATTCTGTGTCCCTCAGTAACAATTCTGTGTCTGTCCCTGAGTAACAATTCTGTGGCCCTAAGTAACGTTTCTGTGGCCCTAAGTAACGGTTCTGTGGCCCTCAGTAACAATTCTGTGTCCCTGAGTAACAATTCTGTGTCTGTCCCTGAGTAACAATTCTGTGTCCCTAAGTAACGTTTCTGTGGCCCTAAGTTACGGTTCTGTGGCCCTCAGTAACAATTCTGTGTCCCTGAGTAACGTTTCTGTGGCCCTAAGTAACGGTTCTGTGGCCCTCAGTAACAATTCTGTGTCCCTCAGTAACAATTCTGTGTCTGTCCCTGAGTAACAATTCTGTGTCCCTAAGTAACGTTTCTGTGTCCCTAAGTAATGATTCTGTGGCCCTAAGTAACGTTTCTGTGGCCCTAAGTAACGTTTCTGTGGCCCTAAGTAACGATTCTCTGTCCCTAAGTAACGTTTCTGTAGCCCTAAGTAACGTTTCTCTGTCCCTAAGTAACGTTTCTGTGGCCCTAAGTAACGTTTCTCTGTCCCTAAGTAACGTTTCTGTGGCCCTAAGTAACGTTTCTCTGTCCCTAAGTAATGTTTCTGTGGCCCTAAGTAACGTTTCTCTGTCCCTAAGTAACGTTTCTGTGGCTCTAACTCTTTCCCTAATACAGAGAGGTCTGCCTCTCTTGAATGACTGGAGGCAAATGGAGAATTCTAAAATTGGCCGCCATTTATAGCTCGACCATTACACAGTGCTGGCTTGCTGGCTGCTGATTGGCTAATGCAGTGGTTCTCAACCTTTCTAATGCCAGACCCCTTAATACAGTTCCTCATGTTGTGGTGACCCCCAACCATAAAATTATTTTCGTTGCTACTTCATAACTGTAATTTTGCAGTGGGAGGAGTAGTGCCACGTCATTTGGTGTCAGTGGAAGGAGTAGTGCCCCATCACTGATGTCAGTGGGATGAATAGTGCCCCATCATTGGTATCAGTGGGAGGAATAGTGCCCCATCGTTGGTATCAGTGGGAGGAATAGTGCCCATCCCCTGATGTCAGTGGGAGGAATAGTGCCCCATCATTGGTGTCAGTGGGAGTGCCCCATCATTGGTATCAGTGGGAGGAATAGTGCCCCATCATTTGGTATCAGTGGGAGGAATAGTGCCCCATCACTGATGTCAGTGGGATGAATAGTGCCCCATCACTGGTGTCAGTGGGAGGAATAGTGCCCCATCACTGGTGTCAGTGGGAGAATAGTGCCCCATCACTGATGTCAGTGGGAGGCATAGTGCCCCATCGTTGGTGTCAGTGGGGAGGGAATAGTGCCCCATCACTGGTGTCAGTGGGAGGAATAGTGCCCCATCATTGGTGTCAGTGGGAGGAATAGTGCCCCATCGTTGGTGTCAGTGGGAGGAATAGTGCCCCATCGTTGGTGTCAGTGGGAGGAATAGTGCCCCATCATTGGTGTCAGTGGGAGGAATAGTGCCCCATCATTGGTGTCAGTGGGAGGAATAGTGCCCCATCATTGGTGTCAGTGGGGGAGTAGTGCCCCATCATTGGTGTCAGTGGGGAATAGTGCCCCATCACTGGTGTCAGTGGGAGGAATAGTGCCCATCACTGGTGTCAGTGGGAGGAATAGTGCCCCATCATTGGTGTCAGTGGGAGGAATAGTGCCCCATCATTGGTGTCAGTGGAGGAATAGTGCCCCATCATTGGTGTCAGTGGGAGGAATAGTGCCCCATCATTGGTGTCAGTGGGAGGAATAGTGCCCCATCATTGGTGTCAGTGGGAGGAATAGTGCCCCATCATTGGTGTCAGTGGGAGGAGTAGTGCCCCATCACTGGTGTCAGTGGGAGGAATAGTGCCCCATCACTGGTGTCAGTGGGAGGAGTAGTGCCCCATCACTGGTGTCAGTGGGAGGAATAGTGCCCCATCATCACTGGTGTCAGTGGGAGGAATAGTGCCCCATCGTTGGTGTCAGTGGGAGGGTAGTGCCCCATCATTGGTGTCAGTGGGAGGAAGTAGTGCCCCATCATTGGTGTCAGTGGGAGGAATAGTGCCCCATCACTTTGGTGTCAGTGGGAGGATAGTGCCCCATCATTGGTGTCAGTGGGAGGAATAGTGCCCCATCATTGGTGTCAGTGGGGGGGAATAGTGCCCCATCATTGGTGTCAGTGGGGGGGAATAGTGCCCCATCATTGGTGTCAGTGGGGGAATAGTGCCCCATCACTGGTGTCAGTGGGGGGAGTAGTGCCCCATCGTTGGTGTCAGTGGGGAGTAGTGCCCCATCACTGGTGTCAGTGGGGGAGGTAGTGCCCCATCATTGGTGTCAGTGGGAGGAATAGTGCCCCATCATTGGTGTCAGTGGGGGGAGAGAATAGTGCCCCATCATTGGTGGTCAGTGGGGGGAATAGTGCCCCATCATTGGGTGTCAGTGGGGGGAGGAATAGTGCCCCATCATTGGTGTCAGTGGGGGGAGTAGTGCCCCATCACTGGTGTCAGTGGGAGGAATAGTGCCCCATCACTGGTGTCAGTGGGGAGGAAATAGTGCCCCATCATTGGTGTCAGTGGGAGGAATAGTGCCCCATCATGGGGGTCAGTGGGATGGTGAATAGTGTGCCCATCATTGGTGTCAGTGTGGTGGAGGGGGAATAGTGCCCCATCATTGGTGTCAGTGGGAGGAATAGTGCCCCATCGTTGGTGTCAGTGGGGGGGAATAGTGCCCCATCATTGGTGTCAGTGGGAGGAATAGTGCCCCATCGTTGGTGTCAGAGGGGGGGAGGAATAGTGCCCCATCATTGGTGTCAGTGGGGGAGGAATAGTGCCCCATCGTTGGTGTCAGTGGGGGGAGGAATAGTGCCCCATCGTTGGGTGTCAGTGGGGGAGGAATAGTGCCCCATCGTTGGTGTCAGTGGGGGAGGAATAGTGCCCCATCGTTGGTGTCAGTGGGAGGAATAGTGCCCCATCGTTGGTGTCAGTGGGGGGAGGAATAGTGCCCCATCGTTGGTGTCAGTGGGGGGAATAGTGCCCCCATCGTTGGTGTCAGTGGGAGGAATAGTGCCCCATCGTTGGTGTCAGTGGGAGGAATAGTGCCCCATCGTTGGTGTCAGTGGGGGGAGGAATAGTGCCCCATCGTTGGTGTCAGTGGGGGGAGGAATAGTGCCCCATCGTTGGTGTCAGTGGGAGGAATAGTGCCCCATCATTGGTGTCAGTGGGAGGAATAGTGCCCCATCATTGGTGTCAGTGGGAGGAATAGTGCCCCATCATTGGTGTCAGTGGGAGGAATAGTGCCCCATCATTGGTGTCAGTGGGAGGAATAGTGCCCCATCATTGGTGTCAGTGGGAGGAATAGTGCCCCATCATTGGTGTCAGTGGGAGGAGTAGTGCCCCATCATTGGTGTCAGTGGGGGGAATAGTGCCCCATCATTGGTGTCAGTGGGGAGGAATAGTGCCCCATCATTGGTGTCAGTGGGGGGGAGGAGTAGTGCCCATCACTGGTGTCAGTGGGGGGAATAGTGCCCCATCATTGGTGTCAGTGGGAGGATAGTAGTGCCCCATCATTGGTGTCAGTGGGAGGAATAGTGCCCCATCATTGGTGTCAGTGGGTGGGAGGAATAGTGCCCCATCATTGGTGTCAGTGGGAGGAGTAGTGCCCCATCATTGGTGTCAGTGGGGAGGAATAGTGCCCCATCATTGGTGTCAGTGGGAGGAGTAGTGCCCCATCATTGGTGTCAGTGGGGGGGGAATAGTGCCCCATCATTGGTGTCAGTGGGGGGGAATAGTGCCCCATCATTGGTGTCAGTGGGGGGGGAATAGTGCCCCATCATGGTGGTGTCAGTGGGGGGAATAGTGCCCCATCGTTGGTGTCAGTGGGGGGAGGAATAGTGCCCCATCATTGGTGTCAGTGGGAGGAATAGTGCCCCATCGTTGGTGTCAGTGGGAGGAATAGTGCCCCATCGTTGGTGTCAGTGGGTGGGAGGAATAGTGCCCCATCATTTGGTGTCAGTGGGAGGGGAATAGTGCCCCATCATTGGTGTCAGTGGGGGAGGAATAGTGCCCCATCGTTGGTGTCAGTGGGGGGGGTAGTGCCCCATCGTTGGTGTCAGTGGGGGATAGTGCCCCAGTGTGTGTCAGTGGGGAGGAATAGTGCCCCATCATTGGTGGTGTCAGTGGGGAGGAGAATAGTGCCCCATCATTGGTGTCAGTGGGGGTGGGAGAGGAATAGTGCCCCATCATTGGTGTCAGTGGTGGGGAGGAGGAATAGTGCCATCATTGGTGTCATTGGAGGAATAGTGCCCCAGTGGGGGGGGGAGGGAATAGTGCCCCATCGTTGGTTGGTCAGGGGGGGGGGGATAGAATAGTGCCCCATCATTGGTGTGGTGTCAGTGGGGGGAGGAGAATAGTGCCCCATCATTGGTGTCAGTGGGAGGAATAGTGCCATCATTGGTGTGTCATGGGTGTCATAGTGCCCCATGGGGTGTCAGTGGGAGGAATAGTGCCCATGTGGTCATTGGTGCTCCCCATCAGTGGTTGTCAGTGGGGGGAGGAATAGTGCCCCATCGTTGGTGTCAGTCAGTAGTGGGGGAGGTGGGAATAGTGCCCC